TCTAGGAGAGACCATGAACACTTGATCCAAAGTCACCCAGTGGCTCCTTGAAGTTAGACCATAGCATCATAGGACTGGAAGGGGTCTCGGAGGTCTTCTAGTCCAACCCTCTGCTCAAGCAGGAGACTTTGTAGTTATATAGGTTCAAGTGTGTAGTCAATACAGCCAAACTATTAACCTCTGCTGGGTGTTTTTAACCTTTTATGAACTTCCCAACATATAGATCAGGGGTCTTCAGACTTGGCCCTTTTATGACTTGTGGACTTCAACTCCCAGAATTCCTCAGCCAGCAATGCTGGGAGTTGAAGTCTGGGAGTTGAAGTCCACAAGTCATAAAAGGGCCAGGTTTGAAGACCCCTGATATAGATCAATGTTTCCCAACCGTGGCTACTCTTAAGTTAGGTGGACTTCTATTCCCAGAAGTCCCCAGCCAGTTGGAGGGAACAGTGGGACTGATCCCTCCAACAGGTCAGCTGGCCTCCTCAAAACGCAATTCTTGCCTCCACAGGATTTCAGAGCAAAAATACAAGTTGCTTCTGGAAGGTTCCCTGACTCAAAGCCAGCCACTGCCACCAACCCAGTCTCCAGCCTTCCATGGTCCAGGGGAGCACAGGTAAGGAAGGACAACGTGGTTGCCAAAACCTGGCTTAGATGAGGAAGGACTACGGGGAGAGAAAATCCCCAGGAAAGGGCAGAAGGATGCATTTTGGCACTCAAAGGACAATAAACCAAGAGAGGTTCAAGAAGACTAGTGATTGTGTAGGTAAAGCCTACACAAGCTGCCCAGTTCTGTGGGTCACAGGGAAGAAACCCAGAGGGCCAAAATAAACCATGGAAGAAAAGGAGTCAACCGTCACCCCAAAGGGCAAGGAACAAGAGACAGAGCCAGGAAACAAACCGTCATCAACAATCTTAGGTTCCACCAAGAAATGCAATCCAAAGAATGAAGAGAGCAGCTCCTGCAGATGTTTGCTTGGAGCCGGTTTGGGTCTCCGCCCAGCCCCAGCTGCTGCTTATCAAAGGCCAACTGGCAGGAAGGCCTACTTGGGAGCCCATTGCCTGCTCTTGAGTAGACCCAGAAGAGCCTTTCCTTGCAGCCCAGGTCCCGGAAACTAGCAATTAAAGCTTTCAAGCCAGAATTGTCCCATCCAGATCAAGGGCGGGGTTGGGATGAGGCTAGTGAAGAGAAACACTTTTGGATTTTTAATTCACTCCGATTCAATTTGGCGGAAGGAATCAAGTCTTTAGTTTTTCTTCGAAACTCCATGTGACTCCCCACTCCATGAGATCCCAAGAGAAGCCCTCCTGAGGTGGCTTTTTCCTTGCGGGTCTTTTTCCACAGGTGGGGAGGGGGGAAAGTGGGACTGCTTCACAGCAGAGGGAAGTGGTGCCCGTTGGAAAGCTTCTCCAACGACACCTGAACTCCGAACCTCCACCAAGACAAACCCCCAAAGGGTCCTCAGGGACCAAGAGTGAGCAGAGCAACAGGCCCCTTTCCCACCGGAGAAGGAAACACCTGAAAAATGGCGGGATTTTAACTTCAGCAACGGCCCAGGCCCTTGGATTTCTGGTTGACCGAGTGGGCCTGGACCCAAGGTTACAAAAACCGGGCTGTGGGTGGAGGAAAAGAGGCCCCATTTGAGATCTAAAATGGTGGCTTCAAGTCAAGGAGGCAAGTACAGCCAGTCCTCGACTTACAACAGTTCATTTAGTGACCGTTCGAAGTTACCATGGCACTGAAAAAGCGACTTATGACTGTTTTTTCACACTGACAACCGTTGCAGCATCCCCAGGATTACATAATTCAGATGCTTGGCAGCTGACTCATATATATGACGGTTGCAGTGTCCCTGGGGGGGGGGTCACGTGATCCCCTTTTGCGATCTCTGACCAGCAAAGTCAATGAGGAATCCAGATTCACTTAACGACCTGGTTAGTAACAACTGCAATGGTTTACTTAACAACTGTGGCTAGAAAGGTCGTAAAATGGGGCGAAACTCACTTAACAAATGTGTCACTTAACGACATAAATTTTGGGCTCAGTTGTGGCCGTAGGTCAAGGACTCCCTGTATTGCAGGTCAGGAAACTGACCTCCTGGGATGATGGAGATACCCAAAACAGTTGTTGACCAACACGGGGTGCCCATAAGAGGGTGTGTTTTTTTGGGGGGGAGGAATGGCTCCCACGGCCTTGGTGCTGATCGTTACAGCAATCGTGGCTTGTAGTCACATAATGCCACCATGGTTCTCTTTGTCCATCTCTAGAGTGTCCCCAGGACGCTCCAGAAACTGACATTTGTGGAGACTGAAGAAGGATCTGAAGAAGAGCAGGCCCAAGAGTTCAGCATCGGTCAGCACCCCCAGATCTGGCAGGTGGCCAGCAGGACCCCCTGACGAATTTCTCCATTTGTGAATTTAGACTTTTTTTTGTTCCTCAGCCAACTTTCTTTGCCCCTTTAGGCTTTCCTCCAACTCAAAACCATCTCTCTGTTCTGCACCCCCAAACCCGACATCACAATAAAGTCTTTGTTTTCAAGTGCATCCTTTTATTTTCATTTGGGAAATGTACATGGAAGTCACACTTTCAAAAGCTGGTTTTCATACATGTAAGATAGGGGTTTGCAAGCATGCAGGTTTCTAGTCCACTGTAGAGCAGGGGTCTTCAAACTGACTTGTGAACTTCAACTCCCAGAATTCCCCAGCCAGCATAACAGCAGTTCAGTCATACATCATAAAAGTCATAAATCACATTTTTAGTGCTGTTGTAACTTGGAACAGTCACTAAACAGACAGTTGTAATTTGAGGATTCCCTATAATTCTACGGGGAATGTGCTGGGCCTACAAACGGAAGCACATGGCCATCCAAACTTGCAAGCAGAGGCATCAAGTCTTTGAGGGGCCTGGGGGGGGGGAAATATACTCCCCCCCCCGCACACATTCTTTCACGTGCTTTGTTTGAAAGAGAATCCCAGAAATAAGAACCATTCGGACATTTTTCTTCCCTAAAAGATGAAATTTCCCAGGCTGAGAAGTCTGGGATTCTTTCCAAGCACATCGGCAGCCTGGCCCAGCAGGGTCTTTTTCTCTTCCCACGTGGAAGGGCTTGGTGGTGGCTCTCAGATCAGGAACTGTTTTTCCACCAAGGTCTTCTCTGCTAGATTTCGCCTTCCGAGTGTGTCACGCGCCACTTGCACAAGCTGAAACACAGACGGGCCTCCGTTTGTCCTCAGTGCAGCGGACCCTCATCTTCCCTCTCTCCAAGATGGTCAGGAAAAAGCCGATTACGTCTCCACGAGAACCACCTCGCTAGACGGCTGGCCCTGTTTACCGAGTGCCATGCTAAGCTGGGGTTGGCAGCTCTGTGTCAGTGGGCACGGCTGGCTGGGATGCATGCCGACTGCACATAAAATCATCTCACAGCTTCCTCAATTCACACATGTCATTTCAGGCCAGATTGCCAGATTCAATCTCACATCTTATTGAAGCCCTTAACACTCCCGGGAGTTGCATTATCACTCACACCCACACGGTATTGCAGCTGATCTTCCGATGAATTAAAAGCAAACTTTGGGGGGGGGGGCAAACCTTATCTTCCTCATGCTACATCATGTGTCATTTTAAGAAAACAAAGAGAAATGGCATGTTCCTACTACTTCCTCTCTATCTAGAAACTTTTACCTTCTGCATGGCAAAGGTAACAACCGCTGAGAGCACAAAATTCTGTGCCCCCAAATCCACAGCGCAGAACAGGAGGGTTTCAAAGAGAAGGAGCAATAATTCGTGGCCATAGAAGAGCGTCCGGCTGAACAACGCACCGTCATCTGAAGGAGAAAGTCGCCAGAGCCAAGGTCAGACTGTCATGTAGGATAATTCTGAGGGTTCAACCTCACTTCCAGGTACAGCCTGAATCGTGTGAGCCAGCCCTTAAGAGCTAGACCCCCATAGGAAGGCGCGTGGTGGGTACCGTTATAGAGAATCGAGAGGTCTCCCAGCTCCTGAAATTCCAGGTCCATGACCCTTTCCGAGAAAAACTTGTCCTTCACTATGTAGTCCATTTCTTTGTATCTCTAAAGGGTGGGGACAGAATGAGAAGTGGTTAGAGAAAGGACGGATTAAAAGGGAAACCGTCCTAGAGAGAGAACAGCTTATGCAGAGTAGACATAATAAGAGCTGTTATATTATGCTTCATTGCACATCAACCAGATGTTTAGATTGGATGTGGCAGTTTTATCCACCCACTGAGTCCTTCCCAAGGATCTGGGATTGGGAGATGTGGTTGTTTGATGGGATTAAAGGTCTCCCCGAGGGATGTAACATTCCACATCAAACTGTCTTTTGCAATTGACTGATGGTGATTTTGTCAATTATTTATAATAATAATAATAAAGTTGGAAGGGACCTTGGAGGTCATCTAGTCCAACCCCCTGCTCAGGCAGGAAACCCTATACCATTTCGGACAAATGGCTGTCCAGTTTCTTCTTAAAAACTTCCAGTGTTGGCACATTTGGTCAATATGATTATTATTATTATTCCTTTCTTCTTCCTCAAGGATGTTTCAAAAAGAGTTTGATTCTTCTGGAGTGGGTGGCCGTGATAAATGGGACACATTAAATTAATAAAATGAACTCTAATACATTTTTTAAAAAAGAATAGAGTTTTGGTGACAAAGAGAATGATAATAAAGTAAAATTCCAATTGGCTGTAACAGGGCAGTTTGCACAATGTCTTTGACACACCCAGGAATCCCGTTGACCATCTTTGGCATCTGTTGACCTGGACTTGACAATGTTCTCCTCAAACCATAGTTAGAGCTCTTTTCTGACTGCTCAGCTCCAGAGAGCAACAGAACGAGCAAAGTCCCTGGAAGGAATTTAGCCAAATGCGACTGAAGACTCACGTGTTCCAAGAAGGACACCAGGAACCAATTCAGCGCATGGTAGCCTTTCAGCCGCAGCTCGTGAAGATCAGGGCGACTTCGGAGTCCTCTCTGATGCTACAAGGAGAACATTCATGGACTTTAAAAGTTCAAACCTGCCTCCTGGTAGGCACCGGTGAAAAGGAGGGGGGGAAATGGATTTATTTTACTTGATTCTTCCCTTCGGCAGGAGAAATGTCAGTTCAATTTTCACCCGCCTGTGCTTGAGAACTCATCTCCAGCCGCAGAGGGAGTTTTCAATTAGAGTTTGAAGTAGAAAGTGAGAAAATAGGATGGCTACACTCAGCCACTGTTCCTTGAAGGAGCTAAACTCAGAAAGTTCAACCAGGGTTCACTTCTAAGAAATAAAAAAAATAATATGGTTTCGTGACACCCAACGAGCTAGATAGATTTATAGGAGCATTTGTTCCCCTGGTCGGCTACCCAAGCTTCAAGAGGTCCTCTTAGGCCACAAACTCTTTGCCACAATAAATCCAAGGTTAAATGCTTCTTTGTTCAGTTGGGAATTTTCTCTCTGATCACCCTTGACAAAAAACATGCCCAAGATTTTTGGCACTTTTTATCATTTTTCTCAGTGATCTCAAGATCTTTTTATAGCTAACTTTCAGCAGTCCCTACCACTGAATGAGGGTGAATGGAGGTATTTCAGAGCTACTACGCCTTTAGGTGGAAGCTTATTGTTTCAGACTAGCTGCTCCCTCACCTAAACATGAATAAGGGATTGCTAATTAGCACTACTCTCCCCAGAAGTGCGTCAGAACTGCTTTTGCAACAATTTTGTTTAATATGAAGTATTACAAAGAAGCAGCTTCTAGTCCATATGGTATGGGGTTTGCTTCTAAGCTAAGTTTGAAAGACTCGCTGGCCTACAGAGATAAAAGGATTATGAGTTCACCAGCACGAGAAAATGTGTGTCATTGCATCATAATGTTTGCGTCTTACATCCAGGCATAACACCATGGGCATAACAAAAGGCAGGTGATGTCACAATATTGCAATTCATGTTTCATTAGTGGCATCTACAGCTTCCCCTTGCAGATAGCCAAGGAGAAAAATGTTTTATGTTTCAAGACAGATTTTGTGCACTCAAACAATGTTCACTGGGAATTTCTCGGCCTTTTGGCTAAGATCAACTGTGTGGAATTCCTGCCCCCTCATCTCTGGAGGGTGGCATTGAAGGAAACGGGCCTTATGAGATGGACCACGAGTCTCTCTGCCGTGAAGGATAGCTGAATCATTCTTAAGGATGCTTGTGCGGCATTTCTGAAAAGCAATTAAGAAGAAAACATTGCAAGATCTGCTACCTCCATTAATGAGAGAAGGATGCGGTCATAGAAGGTCCGAGTCCGGTCAGTGAGAAGCACCTCGAAGGTCTGCACCTCAGAGTTAGCCTCCAAACCCCTCAGGGGACAAAGATTGTCCTGGGAAGAAAACCAAGAGGAAGCGAAAAGTTACAGTGGAAACACACGAATACAGTAAAGATTTCTATATTTACCATTTCTCTAGTCCTCGCTTCAGTTTTGCAGATTTAAATTATGGGACTCTTAAGTTGGAAACTTTTTGCTCAGTGAAAGAATCCAGATTAAAGTATCCATAAGGACTGGCTGTTTAGCCTTGTTCTGGTGTTCATCTGCTTTTAACACTGATCATTTTTTCCTAATATTTAGCCCACATCGGCCTTCCTCTGACTGCTTTTCTGCATCTTGTGCTTGTGTAATTGAAAGAGACGACACATAAGGAAGATTGGAGGAGGAGGAGGAGGAAGAGGAGGAGGAGGAGGAGGAGGAGGAGGAGGAGGAAGGGAATAAACCCAGATGTTTTCTGGAATCAACACTGTTGGCTGAGAAGACAACCACACTGGAGTTGGTTTTCAGAGAAGAGAACGGTTCCTCTTCCCAATTCCTTGCTACATCCCGATGGCTACCAAGAAGCCCCAATTCAGTCACTTTGGAAGAGCGAGGTAAATTCATGGAGATCAGCCATTGCTCACTGTTATGATGGCTCTGATGGTGAGAAGAAGCATGAGGAGGCAAGAATGCTAACAGGTTGGGCATTCTCTTTGAACGCTTCCATGGAGTCGGACCATAAATGAATCCTTCCCGTTGTTAGAAGGCGAAAAGCAAGGAGGAAAGAGAAGACCACCTGTCTTCAACTGAAGGACCAAGCTGCAGGTAACCTCCAGCCACATTCACCTTGAGAAGGGCCCAAGACAATGACACAGTCCCGCAAGAGTCTGTTAGAAAGAGAAGCCTCCACGCCACGTGGTGAAGGACCAAAGACCAGAAGCCAGGGTTACCTCCTCTTTCCTGAGATAAGAGAGCATTGTGTCCAAGCTCACATCAGCATGTCCGTGGACGCTTCTCCCATGGATGTAGAATCCGTAACACCTGTGTGTCAAGATGAACACAGATACCTGCAGGGATTACAAAGAAACGTCCATATTACAGGGAAACAAGGACACTTCCAAATGCATCTGGCTTATTTTAAGAATTAACACATTTCCCCCCAGGTTGGCTTGGAACACCTTTTAAAAACCAGCCTATAAAGTAATGTAAATGTTTTAAAAAATGGCTCAGAGCAAAGCCTAAAACTTGCATCAGAATCCCTCAGGTAAGCAATTAAAAGCAGCCACAAATTAGCTGAAACTGGCTTAAAAAATGAAATAATTTCTTAATGAACATTCAGCCATTTAAAAAGTGCAAATTAAGACATCCTGAAGGGCAAATTAGCCTCGCACTGCATATATGGGGGTGGGAGTCCCCAATTATGAAATGACTTGTTCAACTGGAACTCCCCATGCCCTCATTATTACCGCATTATTAATAGTTGCACTACATTATAACCGCCTGCTTTTTTTTAGAAATGTAAAAGTAGGTTGCAAATCTTTGTCTGAGCTGAGATCTGACCTTAAAAGGTGGAAAAGAAGGTAGCTCTAAGGAAGGAATGGGTAAGAGAAGCACAGAAAAGAAGAATCCAGAATCTAGTTTCAGCTCAAATCTTCTCATCCAGATGTGTGTACATTTTTGCTCTCAGGATTGCCAGCAATGGCCATGCTGACAGGGGAGCCCTGGGAATCTAAGTCTCCAAGTTGGGGAACAGACAATCTGGTGACGGGTGTGACTCACATTGCTCAAGGAACAAAGGTCAATGAACTGATGAATCTTGTCCTCCACAAAACGTTGATATAACCCAACGGACACCAACATCTGGAACAGAACCAAGAATCCCTGAGGAACTGCAAGGCAGGTCAACTTCCCACAAGAATCCAGAGATCCTTTTTGCAAAGATCCTGGTGGCTTCTTCCAATCAATTGGAACAAGTCAATGCATGTTGAAATACCACCTAAGAATATCTTTTGCAGCATGAAAATGCTGCATGACAGGTGAGCAAAGGAGCAAATAGACAGAATTTAGGAAAGTAGAGTGAGACCTATTTTTTCCTCAACATTTCCAACTCTAGAACATGGTTAGGCCATCATCTATCATCCATCCTTCATGCTAGGTGCTATTTATTTTCTTGGTAGAGATAGAAAAGGCTTCTGAAGAGGGGAGACATTGTTTTACATGGAATGGAGCACTTTTTTCTGCAACAGGATGATTTGGAAATATTCTCTGTCTTTTTGGAGGGGAGGGGAGCGGAGGGGAGGGGGGAGGGGGGGAGAGGAGAACCTGCACAATGGCCACCACCAGCCAAACAGAAGCGGCAATCCCAAAACGAAGAATTGGGCTCCAGGGAGCTTGGTAAGTATTTGGCTCAGGCTGCAGACTGACATTCAGGTCTCTTGATGCGAGGTTTTTTAGCCCCACCACCTGTGGATGAAAAGAAGCCAACATCACTCCCACATGGAGACACCTTCTCTTCATCTATGGCTCACTGGGTGGGTGAGTATTCTCATTCTTAACTGTAACGTGAGATTAATAGTCCACAACTATACAGTTTGTGCTGAAAATGTTGGGCTAGGAAAGGAAATCAAGTTAGGGTTTTATTGTCCTACGGGGATTGGACAAGGACCTGAAGGAGCAATGGGCTGTTGGCTCACCCAGGATTTTCCTAAGAGGATGGGGAAGAAAAGCCACCAGAACAGACCAGTGGGAACAGGAGCTTCTGCCATCAAGATGAGATTCCAACTTTTTGTCCCTGTCTCTCGTCCCGCTCACTCTCCAGACCAGCAGATGTCTGCCTGCCTGCAGAATCTTTCTCAGGGCTGCTGACAGAACTCAGTGAGCCCTCCTGGGTCTTGCACTGACCTCCAAAACCAACAAAACTGCAAACAGCTGAAGCGAAGGATGCACCTTCCTGTGTGTCTGGATTTCATTCCACTCATTAGCGATCAGAAAAGTCCTCCAGGCACTTACTGACGAGGCTGGACCTCCTGGACCAGGGTGGGGTGGAGAGGGGGGGATGCACAAACAAACAATGAGCTTTATTGGTAGCCTCTGCATGCGCCTCTCCAATGTTTTTTGACCAATTGCAAAGCTTGGCACTCCGGAGACTCCCGGCGCTTTTGCTGTATGTTCGTCTGCCTCTCCAACAGCAAATAATACAATACAGCTTGGTTGGCTTCCCAAAAGGGCTGGAGAAATTCATGGCTCTTGCCTTCATGAGAGGAGGCCCCCTTAGTTGGCCCCTAGAAGAACAGCTGGCCAAGGATCCAATCCAGCAGGGCAGGGCTGGTGTTCTCAACCTGAAGCCCACTGCTTGCTCCCAGCAGCCGTTGGGATGATCTAGTAGTGTGGCTAGTCACACGAGTGATACCATCAAACAGTTGTGTGATGTAACACTGCCCTTGTTTGGAAGCAAGCCAAAGCTTTGGGTCTTTGAGGAAATCTTTTATTCAGGATAAGAGCAGGTGTCCTGGACCTTCTCGCTCCATCAGCAGGAGAAACCCCAGGTGATACGAGCAGATCTTTCTGCTGGAGATTTGTTCACCAAAGGAGGAAGACGAGACGACGCTCTCTTTGGATCACCCATAAAATGAACAAGATATAACCAAAGCAATGATAAATGATAACCTTTCATTGTTGGTTTTTCCTTTGGCTTTTCCCAGTCGATCAGGAAAATGGAGACCGTTAGCTGGGTGATCAGCAGATGTAGGAGATCCAGGCTCTGGAACAAAAGCATCCACAGGGAATTTTATCTCTGGGATATGGAGATACGCTCTGCAGAGCTTAAGAACGTGACCTCTTTTACAGTGATTTGCAAATCCTACACCCTGAGTATCTTCCAAAAAGGAGCAGAGCTCATGTTCAACTCAAATGACTAACAAGCCAATGGAAATTTGCACAAGGGGCAGGGTCTTCCTGAGCACTAAACCCCTTCCCCTTGGGTCAGATTATGGGCATGACGGATGAGCAATCCTGGCAACAGGTAGTAGAGGGTTCTGTCCTTGAAGAGGACAAGGATTGGTTACTTTCAACTGTTGCCAAGAAAACAACATGACACAACTGCCATGCGGCCGTCGAGAATTAAGCTGGACTTGGCAGAAGTTAAGAAGGGCAAATAAAATCAACAGCCCCCCACAAAGAATTAAGCCGTGGTGGAGGGGGTTCTCTATTATGAGATGCTTTTTTTTCACCTTGTAAAATCATTGGGATTTTTCATCTATTAGTTAGTTCTCAAGCTACTGCAGTTCCAGACGACGCATCGTAAAATATGGCTTGATGGAAAAGGTAAAAAAAATCAACTCAGTTTTGATCTGAATATGAAGGCTGCCTGCAGCCATCCTGAATTGTAGTCACCATGTCATCCTCTCCAATTTTCTTGTGGGGAAGTCCCAGCCAGCCAGCTTTAAAAGCACTCCAGCAGCATTTCTCAACCTTGGCAAGATTAAGATGTGTGGACCTCAACTCCCAGAATTCCCCAGCCAGCCATGGGAGCTGAAGTCCACACGTCTTAAGCTTGCCAAGGTTGAGCAAGACCGCTCTAGAAAATGAAAGTTCTCCAAGACATAATGCCCCAAAGACACCAGGTTTTTCACGCAAGCTCTTTCCAACCTCTTACCTTCAAAATCAGAGCACACAACGCATAGATTATAAAGTTGGTTTCTGCTTGGCTACCAGCAGCTGGGAGTGTAATTTCCACAGTAGAAAACTGCTGACCCTATAGAAGAAAAGTCAAAACAGACGAGATCTTTCTGCTTGTGAGGTTCTATATCCCTCAGCACAAACATTATTATTATTCTTGTTGTTAGCAGAATTCCCTTCCTCTTAAAGAAGAAAGCCCCAATCTGTGTACCAAAGCCATAAATGCAAGAGTCACTAGAAATAATTAAAAATAAACCAATGGAACACTGGGTGCATGAACACCTGCGCACACCTCCACGGATCCTTACTTTACCTTGAAAGCGATCAGCCAGTAAATGCCAATTCCCAAGGTGACCATGAAAAAGACGTTTGCCAGAGAGCCAACCAAGCAAGCAAAGAATTTCAATATGGTCTGAAAATAAAATAAAAAATTTAACAGGAATAAAAATCTGAATCAAGGGAGGCCGGTGTGAAGAAAAAGCAATTTTGTACCACCTTGTTTCTTTGTTTTAAACATCTGGCAAAGTCTAAGCAAACACAGCTGGTGTCCCCAGTGAAGTCCCACATTCTAAGAGGTGACCCATTTCCCAGAAGCTCAAGATCAAAAGGTGAATTTCGCCCTTACCGTGAAACCGATATTTTGCAGGCGAGATCGCCGGGCCCAGCTGCTGGTTTCCAACAAAGCATAGAGGACAGCAAGGAACCCCAGGACCCCAAAGGCAATCTGTGCACAGACAATGTGTGTGTCATTCCTAGCAGAATGGAAAATATGCAGAATGCCTTGACATAAATTAAGCTGTTTTGGATATCCAAGACCATCCCTAAAACCTCCAAAAGCATCTTTTGGGAATGAGCGGATTAAAAGAGTAAATAGTTCAATCGCCTTTCTTCAAGCTAGAGGCCTTCCAGATGTATGGACTTCAGCTACCAGCATTCCACAAACAATGCAGCCTCACTGACTATTTCAGAAGTTCCAGAATTCTAGAAGAATTCTAGAAGAAACCCAAGCTTTCTAGAAAGCCTCCAGGGTGAGGAAACCTGATATGGGCAAAAGGGTTGAAAGCATCTTCCTGGTGGGGCTGTTTTGCCAAAGAGATGGGGCCATTCTCTTAGTGAGGAGAATACATGCTCTTCACAGAACATGACCTATTGCAATGAAGACCTCTGCAGAACCTTAAGGACCAGCAGTTTTATTGTAGGACAGCGTCCACTCTCTACAGCTCAAATGGCTTTTATCTTCTTTCCACCATTTGTCTATGCAGCAAAATCAGCCCAAAAAACCTTCAATGTTCAACAGTCTGTCCAAAAAATCTCGCACTGAGCTTACTCACATCCGTTGCTAGCTGAGCTGATCCAGGTCTCTGAATGTAGGAGACTGAAAATGACACCTGTAAAATCAAGTGACAAAATAACATTGTCCACAAAGCTGAAAAGCAGAGAAAGGTGGAAGCCAGGGGTGAAGGGAAGGAAGAAATCTACGCACAACCTGCAATGGCAGCAGATCCACTTCTGCTTCTGGATCTGCAGATTATAAAGTTGGGGGCTGTTCCCACCACATGGACTCACCCGGGCAGCTCCCGCAAGGGGGTATGTGGCATATCTGACTGTCAAGAAGAAAGGTGGGTCTTCCCCAGGAACAGTGGTTGGAAGGTGGACACTGCAAAAGCCAGGAAGAAGAATGGCGGTTGGTTCTGAGGGAAGGAGGGCTGGAGAAGAACTGGAGGAGAAAGCCAGTAAGATGAACGCTGCCTCTTGAGCTTCTGGGCAGCTCCTGACACAGGGGTATTTGGGGCACCAGCAAAGTGACATGTCTGCTAGGTCGATGCAGTGGATGTTTGTATTCACTGCTATGCAAAAGGATATCTGAGAGAAAATAAGGACAGGCTCACTTTACAAACTAGGCAAGTATTCTCCCCCCCTTTTTTCCCTTCATTTCTCCATTCTCTCTGCCACATTTCTAGTGAAGGGGCATCCACCAGCAGCTATTATTTCCCAATGACTTCCCAAATTCTTCCCAATTTCCAACCAAAATCTGCTTCCCTGTGATTTGAGTCATTGCTTTTTGTTCCGTCTTCTGGAACAATTTGACCTTGTCTTCTCCACCAAAGTCCTTCAGGTGCTTGAAGATGGCCATCAGTCTCCCCATCATCTTCTCTTCTCCAGGTTAAACTTACCCAACACCTTCAACTGTTCCTCCTCAGATTTTCCTGCCATCTTGCTGATTCTTCTCTAGACATTTACTTCAATGTCCTTTCTAAAGTGTGGTTGGCCCTTGACAACCTCTGCCCTTAATCAGGCCTCGGAAGGTGGTATTTTTTTTTACCTGAGAATCAAATCCTTTGCCAGGGTAACAGACTCTGGCGCATTTGACAAATTCCCTTTTCTGCTTGATAGCCCATCGACCAGAAAGAATCTCCGGAGCGCTTGAGTCAGCAATGGTGCTAAACATCAAAACAAGACGCAAGGACAAAGATTTTAGCAAAGGTTCTGGAGCTGTACTTTCAACACAGTGTACAAAACTGAGCAGAACAGCTTTGGAGAAGTTGATTAATATCGGTAAGGTCAGAAGGGGTCAAGATATTTGCAGGGGCTGAAATGAAACTGCAAAACTGAACCTCCAAAGGTACGTTCAGACATGGCATTGATGGACAAAGCTTGTTGCAAGCACATCGGTGTCTGCATTTCTACAGTTTGTTGGAAAAGGCTGGGCTTGAGAAGGGAAACTTTGCAGCCTTCAGAGAAGAGGAAAAGGGAAAGACAAGATTAATGAATGAAGCCAAGTTCCCAGAAATAAGGAAACAAAAAAGGGTTCCAGCAAATGCCTTAAGGGATCATGTAGATTTTAATGACAATTTGAAGACCATGATGCCTTTGATCTAGCCCAGAAAACCCCGAAGGGTTGCTTTACCTTGATTGTTTGTTACCATTGTGGGATTGCTTATAGGAATGGGCCATAGCTGGGTGTTCCCCTTCTCATCTTCAAACTGCAAAAACATCTCATAGAAGATGGGTTCTGGAGTCCTTTGCAGCAGAGCAGAGACTTCAAGGGTGCACTACAAAAAATAAAGACCAGGTGGAAACCGTGCAGCTGCCTTTCCTGGGCAAAGAGATCTGTTTAAGCCACATGTCTGGAGCTGCTCTATTCAGTTAATCATTTGAAAAGAAACCCCCAAATACAGGGTAGACCAGTGGTGGTGAACCTATGGCACATGTGCCAGAGGCGGCACTCAGAGCCCTCTCTGTGGGCACATGCGCCATCACCTCAGCCCCGCCTCCCCCTGCAGCCCCCTCCTCATCAGCAGCTCCCCCGGAGAGTTGCCCCTGAGCATGGCGTGCACGGAACAGCGCAGCCAAGGACATGGCAGCTGGGCAGCAGGGACAAGACTACGCCCTCACACCCCGTCATGCGCAGTTGCTACTGCGGGGCACAGGTGTAGCTGCCATGGCGCTGCTGGGCCACGTGTTGCTCCTTTTACATGCCATGGCACTGCTGGGCCACCTGGGCTGTGGAGGCGGTGGGTGGCCCTGCGGGTGGGCAGAGCAGGGGGCGGAGCAAGGCAGGGGGCGGCATGGGGCCGTAAGGAGGGGGCGGGGTGGTTTTGGGGCATTTGGTCTCTAAAAGGTTCACCATCACTGGGATAGAGTGCAATCTGTTATTCGGAACTGGTTTCCACTAAAAACCTAGGATTTGGCAGATGACCTATGGAAACAATTGATGACCTTCAAGATCTGCTGGGGTAACCAGCTGGACCCATATCTCTGAAAGCCACCAAGATTAAGTCAAGAGAATCTCACTCCTATTGGTGACATGTCTGGTTAGATCCCAATACTTCCTTCTCTCCAAACTCCAAAATGGGATTCTATCCACCAAGAACCAATTCCACAGGTTAAACTGAAGCAGAGGCATTGCTTACAGACTGACTGTATGAGGTCCCCAAGAGGAAAGCTGCATCCAGGACCTTCTGGCTGTTCGGACAGAGCTAAATGGTGCAAAGAGAAAAGATGATACAGCCATTTTTAAGTATTTTAAATGGTTTTGTGGAAGGAAGGAAGGAAGGAAGGAAGGAAGGAAGGAAGGAAGGAAGGAAGGAAGGAAGGAAGGAAGGAAGGAAGGGAAAAGAGAAAGCAAAAGAAGAGATAATCTTAGTCTATGTTTTCATCTGGCATTGTGAGAAGTGATGCTTGCAGGGACCATATTTAAAGATGAAAGTAATTTGTTTACCTGCAATGTTGCTCCCTTTACATCCTGCCAACCCAGGAATTTTCCCCAGACATCGTACTGAATGAGCTTGAAGTCAATCTGTAGAAAAGAATAACCAATCCCATGGGACTAGGTCATGCGTTTTAAGAAGTTCTCCCCGGCTCACCAAGTTAGTCCAAAGGTCTACTCAGCTGAGCCTACATGTCTGTTTGGTTGAAACAGCCAAGCTATTCAGGCTGGCTGGGAATTCTGGGAGTTGAAGTCCACCCATCTGAAAGTGGTCAGTGTTGGGAAACGTTTGGGGGAGGAACAGGACACGTGCACAGCTTTTCTGGATCTGCTTCAACTTGCCTTCAAATGCTTCCCAAAAGCCACAGAAGGAAAAGGTCCAGTGTTGCTCCCATACCAAACCTTTGGGAGGTCTTGGCTCCTAAAAAGAAAATCCATTCATGCTTTGCAGAAGATGGCAGGTGGTCCTGCAGGAAACAAAGGCTCCACAAAGCCCAGTTGGATCCTCTGAAGAGACAAGGGGATCACAGGGGTCAGATACAAGCCAGAGAGACGTCACAAAGTCACTGCACCAGAGATGCACCATGGGTGTCATTCGCAGGATGTGTTGGACACCCACTGCTCTCTGAGATGTCACTTGTCAATTGTCCCATTTTGCACATTCAACAAAAGAAACTCCTGGCTCTTTAGAATGACCAAGAGTGTAGCTTTATTGGAAGATCCATCTAGGCCCAGCACAAGCAAAGTCTGGGATTTTCCCACGAAAACTCCCATAGGTAAAACCCCCTTTTTCCCTTCGGGTCACCCAGAGTTCATCCATCGCCAATTGAGTTCAGTTCTCTTGTTATGGGAAAGCAGCTCTGCACCACTCAGGTATCTCATAACTTGACCTTGGTAGATAATGTCTCACCTGCAACAGAAGGCTCTTGTGCATTCCCCCTCCCTAGGAATTCACACATCCCCCTCCCGTTTCTGTTTGGCAAAACCTGAGCCGGAATCAGAAGGAGCGGAGTCACTTTTGACACCACCCCTTGGAGCTGGAAAACCAGAGCTGGTGTTACTTACTTGACCTTGGTGTAAAGATCATAAGGCCTGGTTTGCAAAGAGAAAGCTTTGAGGATGACCATGTTGGTGAGCATTTGACAAGCTGTTGCATTGCAGGTGTTCTAAGGCGAGTAAAAGAAAGCATTGGATGCAGGTAACTGAGGCCTGGACAGCAGGTACAATGGGTAAACTTCAGACCATTTTGGTGCAACTCTTTGTAAAATTAAACTCTTTCACAAGTTACTAGCTTCCCTCTGCTGGACCCTGGACCCCACATCAAGGTTGCAACCATTAAAAAGAAAAAAAAACAGTTGACAAGGGGGTTAAATATGGTCACACAGAGCTACCTGCCAGGGTTTGCATACCACAACTGCATGCTGACATGTAAAAAGAAGGTTAGAAGTCATTCGTATATATTATTATAGGTTTTTTGTCCTTTTTCTTTTCTTGCACTATTTCGCCCCTTTTTTCTCTTCTGGGAAAATTCTCAATAAATAAAAAAATTAAATCAAAGCCATCAATTCCCTACTTGGTACAGCAAGGAGATGCAGCATAAATCTACCCACCTTACATGCTAGGAAGCTCCCGTCAAGAAACTCAGATTCCCAGAGAGTGCCAGGGGGAACGTTGCTCTGTAGAGAAGGGGAGAGAAAGATCATGTTTGATAGCAGTCTTCCAATATTTGAGGGGCTGCCACAAAGAAGTGGGGGTCAAAGAAGTGGGGGTCTCCAGGACACCTGAACGCAGGACAAGAAACAATGGATGGAAACTAAGCAAGGAGAGAAGCAACCTAGAAATAAGGAGAAATTTACTGACAGTAAGAACAATTAAACAATGGAACAACTTGCTTCCAGAAGTTGTGGGTGCTCCATCACTGGAGACTTTTAAGAAGAGATTGGACAACCACTTGTCTGACAAGGTCTAGGGTTTCCTTTTTGAAAAGGGGGCTGGACTAGAAGACCTTCAAGCTCCCTTCCAACTCTGTTATTCTGTTAATGCTTCTGCCTGCATCCCCGAGAAAGAACCAAAAGATGTGCTCTTACGCAATCAGGGCATGGAAGACGATGGGGTTCTCCACTTGACTCTTTTGATCCAGGCTTGCAAACACAACCCAAACCTGGAAGGGGGGAAACTGAATCAAGACTGTGCTTCTAGAAGCTACCTGCTCGCTGTACAAATCTCAGGAGTTCACTCAAAACGTTAATGGCAGCCAATTCTGCAGTGAGTAGGTGAACTTTAGCATTTCAAAGAAATCAGGAATTCTGGGAGTTGAAGTCTTCACATCTTCAAGTTGGTTGAAAAACACCATTGTATGGCACATCTGTAATACACCAGCTGCTGGTACCAGTGCATTCTTTCAATGGGTATTCCCCATTGTGTGCCTGCTTACTCTCTTGTAATCCCTTTCTCTCCATGAATGTAAATACAAACATGAATTCCCTTCATGTGAATTATCCCAGCAGTAGGGTTAGCATCCCAAGTGGAGGAAAGGAAAGCAGAGTCAGGATCACAGGATTATGACCATTTGCTTAGCGATGGAAATGACAGTCCCAATTTTTGCCGCTAAAGGACTACTTGTACACTCGGAGAATATGTAGAAAACCCCTTGGGGCTCAAACTACAGGAACAGCTAAACATGTCTCTTATTACTGAGTGAATGTTTTTACATAACCAAAGTAGCAGGAAAGGAGGCAAGCAAGAATGAGATTGGAGCAGGATCCTGACACAAATCAAAAGCGTTCCCCTGCAAGTCTGCAATTAGCCGTGGCACATAATTTCATGCTCACTGCACGGCCCCAAGGGCACCCTTGGGATGCACCAATGCACTCCTTTCTGCAGATCTGGCATTTTGCTGGCTGTATACACGACGGCTAATAACTCATTAAAGCTTCTCTTTCTGCAGCTTCTTCACAAAAGGGAAAGTCGGTGGCATTTTTCCAAGGGCCAGTGCTTTCCCCCACGTGGCTACTAAATTGCCATTTCCCCCATTAGACATATCCTTCCCTGTCCCAGCCTTCTGTCCACCCGTTCACACTCACCCTCAGGACTTGGGATCAGCTCTGGGGCGCAGGAGCTGCAGTGGCCGGTCTCAAGGTTGAAGAATTGGTGAGCCCCACATTTTTCAGGAAGGCTGGAGGCGGCAGGCCAGTTCCTTAGACCCAGCATGGGGCACTGCAGGGGATTGAGAAACAGCAGAAAAAGGGGCACAGAGCTTTTCAGAATTGGCATTGTGGAGGGAGCCTGCAGTGGGGGTTAGTCACTCCCCAGATTGATCCTCTGTGGGCGGAAGATCAGGAAAGCCTACACCGAGGCAGAGAATCTGGTTTTGTGTCAACCCAGGTGTATCCGTAGTAACCAAACACAGGTGTGGCTTCTTAGGAGCTGAAGTGAGGTTTCCAGCTTTGACTCACCTGCCGTTTTAACTTCTGGGCACCATCTGTGGTCAGACTCGGTCACAGAGACAAGGCACAGGGTGATCTTGGCTCAAGACTAAGGAATCGCGGTAGACAAGCACTATCTATGATTCCACAACAGTGTCAAGACCGCAGGGAAAATGCAAAGGAAGGCTGGACGTGATTTGTGAGGTTGACAATGATTACGGAAAGAAAGCAATGATGGTTTAACTTCAGAGTGGATAAAATTCAAAGGCATTTATAGCTACTATAAAGATCTGTTTCTATTTCTTTTCCTATGGCTCTCCTTTTTCATAAGTACGAGGACCCTTCGTAAATCACTTTTTTCAGTGCCATTGTAACTCTGAACGATGGCTAAACGAATGGTTATAAGTCAAGGATTACTTGTATTTCACTTATTTTTTTAAAAAAGAGGAAAGAATAGCACAGAAGATGGGATCTGGAATAAACATATCCTGGGCAGGAGAAAGAGTGAAGATGTAGTTTCATTTACTTATTTAAGCTTTATTTTATTTTCCCTGATCCTGTCGTAAGCAGAACTTGAAATGTTTTCAGTACATAAGTTAAAAACAATAATATTCCACATAGGTCATGAAGTCGCACTCTTGATATGGGGCACACACAACTGCACCCAATACATCAGAACATTTTATATATATATGTATGTATATTACACAACCAAATACAGCAGTTTTAAAACTTCAATGAAATTCACAAGATGGAAATGCCGCTCTGGGACACTCAGGTTTACACACATACAATATGCAATTCTGGGTTTTTGCTTTTTAAAAGGGTAAACAAGAGAAGGGAGGTCCTGAAATTACATATTTAGCAACAACCCCCCCCCCCAGGATCTGTTGCAGATCCTTCTTCCTTTTCATTCCAAGAAGTTCCTTAAACTTTTCACTGCAATTACCTCCCCACGCCTTTAAAGCAAACCTCAGAAATGCAAACAAACATCTGGATTTAAGTCTTTGCATTCCGTGAAACACAGACTCCTCGCTCACATTTAATTCAGTGCCACTCTCCAGCCATCCCCCACCTTAAAGAGAAAAATCTTTAAGATTTAACAATGAATGGAGAAGAAAAAACAAATTCACAGGAGCACAATTTATGAGAGACCTGGAAGGATTAAAGTATAAAAGGAAATTGGTCCATATACATCAGAGGAACAGGACTCCTGCAGCCTTCACGGAATAGGGGCCACGTCCTGGATTGCTGTGGCTTGTAGGAACCGGGGAGAAATCCGTGCAAAGCCATCTTCAAATCCTACTCCATATTTTCAATTGTCTACAAGTGGGAGTTGAGTTTTGATGCCATTTTGCCCAGTGTGAAAAACCTTTGCAATCATCAGTTGTTGATGCATCCCTCAATGTGTTGTTTCAGCTGTGTGTTAAGCTGATGCTAGCCTGCTGGGAGAATTGGACATCTTTCCCAAAGTGGAAGAAAAGCTGAGCTAGAAGAATTAGCAGAGGCCTCTCTCCAGATGTGGTGATTTGGGCTTTTTCTGCAGGATTAGGAACAGCCAAAGACAGCCTTGTGGAATGCTGATGTGCTGAGCCTCCTGCAGATGCCTCTCCTAGCTCCAAACCCTTCGATTTTCAGCCAGGATTGAAGCAAAACTATAAACAGAAGCTACTACTGGCAAAGAACGCGCTGCCAAATGCAGCAAGCTGCTTGTTTTGGAAACCACCAGAAAAGGATCTGGTTAACAAATGGAGGGTTGCATAAGGGGAGCATTCAAAAATTCTATCAGTAGAAGTCACAACCACTCCCAACTTAGGCTCTAGGGCAGATTCAACATAGGCAACCAACCTCTAGCAAGGAGGAACACAGGAGGAAGCATGACAAAACCTATTCTCTTGGCTCCCTCTTCTGGTGGCCAAAGGAACTACAGGAGCTCAACATTTGCAGGTCATTGCAAGATTTAAGATAAAGGCTCACTGTCATTCCTGAATAACATCCACACACACACACAGGAGAGGGAGAGAGAGGGGGAAAGGGAGAGGGAGAGATGGATTTTCTTGTGGATTCTGTAAATCAACCAACAGCTCACTAGCAGCTATGTCTTTTCCCAAAGAATGAGAAACCAGCATCCATCCAGCCACACAAAGTGTATGGAGAAAAGTCTCCACTGTCTATGTTGGAGCAAGTGTGTATCCTCCCCTACACACCCAACATCAACCTCTCCTTAAAAACATACACACACACACTAGACACGAAACCAGAGGTGGGCCATCAAAGGTGTGAGAAGCAGCACAGAGGAAATGTCTCTAAATAGGAAGTTGAAGAAGATTTTGTTGCCCCCAAGATGGCTTGTTGCTGCCATGTAAGCTTTCAAGTTCATGAATGGTGGAAATAGGACAGTAGCTCACAGACAACCCTCCACCTACTTCATGTGGACCAATCAGACAAAGGCTCCATGAAGTTGACAAACCAGAGAGATGGGATCAATCACTCTTGGTCAACCAGTTGACCAACCGCATCAGCCACACTGTTGGATTTGTTCTCGTTTACTCCTCCAGAGTTCTAGATCAGGTTCATCAGAACATACTGCATTGAAACCACACAGGAGGTCCCAGAACTACTCCAGGGAACCAGGAATCTGGGCCTGGTTGGCTTGCACAGCTTCCTAGGGCCCAAAATTACACAGCTCAGATCCTGCCTATCTTAAAATAACTTTCTCTCCCCATCAGGATGATTTGTACCAGGCCTTCTGAGTCTACAAATACCTTTCTTCAGGTTTACCAACTCTGCAGAAAAATTAAAAGATTTTATCTGCCTCTCCATTCCATCACAACTTGTACAGACATCCTATTTTAAATTTCACAGCTGTTGAAAAAAATATTCTAGCTGCTTAAAATATTCTGCAATAAAGCGTGGAGGGCTTTTCCAGTCCTCCTCAAAAGGCCCTGTCGTCCTGGTCCCCAATGACTCTCCCTGCCTTGTACGGAGGAATCTCCCCAGACTGGGCCAAAGCTTTCACGCCCAAAGGCTCGGAACAGGAGTCTGTGGAAGCAGTTGGGTGTCCTTCAGGCTGCAGAAGAGGATGGGCGTCTTTGGATGGACAAGCTCTACGTCTACGGGCTGCTGAGCACAGCACGGCACAGTTTAATAGCAATCATGCAGGAGTATTGCAGAGTCTGGGGGAGGGGGATTTAAAAGCCCATCTGAAGTCTCAAGATGGTCCCAGAGATGAGTTTCACAGCCTTTTGCCTCCACCGGCCTCTCCTCTCCATCCTGGTCCTAGCAAAGCAGGTGGTGGAGCTATTCGGCAGCCATTTGGTCAATGTGGTCACTCAGCAGCTTGTACTGCTCTGAAAGGAGAATCAAAGGAGAACCAGCTCAGAGATCTTCAGGAAAAGGCCGGGTCAGGTCAAGTCAGCAGTGGGGAGAAAGGCTTGCAGCTCCAGATCAGCAGGAACTGTTCCACCCTACAGAATGGAAATCCCTAGACATTCCTCTCCCTCGACCTTGTCCCCTCTAATGCACTAGACCAAGCGTGTCCAACCTTGCCAACTTTCAAGATTTATGGATTAATTGCTATACTGGCTGGAGAATTCTGGCAGTTGAAGTCCACAAGCCTTAAAGTTGACCAGGTTGGACACCCTTGCACTAGACCAAAATGGTTCCACAACATATGTCACCAGTGTTGCGAGAACCACAAATTGTCCGTTATTCGACCGACAGGGAGCATCTTTTCCAAAACAGTTTGGGCTACTTTTGCACACTCCTGATGTTGAAACCATTCTTCTCGGACTGATGCCCTCCAGATGTCTGGGGCTGCAACTGTGATCAGCTTCAGTTACGTGAAGGACAGGAGGTAGACATCTGGGGGGCAGCAGACAGTCTAAGGCAAGCAAAAAGCTAAGATGGGAGCATCTAAATCCCCCAAACAGCTTTTTTTTGTGGCAACCTGAAGATGTGTGGACTTCAAATCCTATTCTGGGAACTGAAGTCTGCTTGAAGTTGACAGTTAAGTGTCACAGAAGCAACCTATAGAGCAGTGATTCTCCACCTTATGTGCACTTCAACTCCTTGCAAGGATGGCTGGGAATTCTGGGATTTGAAGTCCACACAAGGTGCCCAGGTTGAGAAACACTGCTTTCTCCTTCCCCAAGATGTCCATGGCTTTAGCAAAGACCCCTGGACCCTCTCAGACCCACTTACCTTCATCCAGGTTGCCAATCACTGCCTGCTTCTTCAAGAAATCGTTGCAAAGTTTCTTGTTCAGTCCAAAAGCCAGCATGTTATGAGTGAAAGTTCTGGTCAAGGGAAGTAAAAGAGAAGTCAGAGCAAGTCACTTGAGCCATCTGCTGCTCGTTCTGGTGATCCAGATCAAACTTTTCCAGATATGTCCAATTCCCATTATTGGGATTCTCGGAAGACAAGTCTAGGCCTCCAGAAGTCCCCAAAAATGGGAGGCCATCTTGGAGCACCCAAGAATGAGCAGTGCAAATGATACATTGCATTTGGAAGACTGGAGATGAGAAGGTTTCAGTATGATTTATGGCAGGCATTTAATGAATAATTACTAAGAGAGAAGAGAGAGAGAAGAGACTCATCTTTGAAGGCTGAGAAAGCTCATCTTCTTTTTTCACTTATTTGAAAACATGGCTGGTTTTGCTACTTACCCCAACTGTCCAAAGGTGATATTCTCGTTAAAGCGGAGGCTGTCGTTCCGTTCTTCTTGAGTCATGTGGCACCACTTCTCCCTGCAAACACAAGTGGGGATCATGTAACGGGGAACTTTAGGCAATCAATTGGCACATCATTTGTCAAAATTGGCAGGAATTGACGGGAGCAAGGTTGAAGGGCATAGTCTGCTTTCTTGTATTAGCTATCAATTGTGATAACTGCCTGGCCGATGTTTCTAAGACCATCTTTCAAGATATGGGTTGCCTGTGGCCAATTTCAGATTCTGTATTTGAGCTTGTGTCACTGTGGGAAGTCCAAAGATGAATTTTAAGTAAGCCTCCCTTCCATTTGTGGGTTGCATCTGTGGCTAGTTAGCTTGTTTAGAGTCCTCTTTTTACAAGCATCTCAGTTGGGGCCATAATCGTGATTAGTGTGACACACCCAGTCCTTACAAGTCGTCTGTTGTGTGGTGTGCAGGAAGGGAGAAAGCCAAGCACAAAGCAAGGAGGGGGCGAGGAATGGAGTGGAAAGGAGAGAGGTGTAAAAGAAAATTGCAAACCCCAACCTCTTAAGGTCCACTAAGCTCTCTACCTTTGGCCTGCTAACCTGATCAAAATGTTAGTTTTAAATCTGAGCTGCCACCATCTAGAATTAAACATTCTGGAACTGGCCACGTTCTTGCTCTTTCCACCAACTCTGAAACAAAGTAGGTCACCATTTCAGAGAAAGGAGAACCCAGGTTCCTGCAAAGGAGACAGGAGAGGCTCACAACAGAGACCAGATGAAAAGAGACATGTCTCATCTTTAAAAAACCCAGCCTGTTATTAGAAATAAGTAAAAAAAAAAAAAGTTTCCCGAGAGAGAAATAAAAACAATGCAGAGCTGAAGGGTCCCAGGCGGGTGGGAAGGTATGGAGGACACGTGAATTTGCTAACACAAGTGAGCTGCTGGATCAGTTTCTACAACCTCTTCTATGTTCCTTCCTCCTCCATCTTCACGGAGGATGGAGGCAACCTGGGATGGCACCTCCCAGAATTCCATGGGCCAGACTAGCTGGAATTCTGGGAACTTCAGTCTCTGTGCTTTAAGAGAACACGAGGAACCAAATCCTTGCAATGCCAGATGAAGGAGGTTCCTTCAAATTCCACTGAAGGTAAAGGAACATCAATATTTCAAACCAATATACCTTCTGTTCCAATATCCTACAGATTCAGACATTTAAGGAATTCATAACAAGGTCAATTAACGTCTCCATTTCCCTTTCTATATCCTCCACTGTACAATGCATCACTAACATATTATGCTGACACCCCTAGCAGTATATTTCCACTACAATGGTATATTAATTTACCTAGCTCTTTAATTCCCACGTTGCCTTCATCCGCTGTTAGAATTTCTAAAAGCACTGAATTCCAAAGGTCAAATCAAGTCCAGAAAGAAGAAATCTAACTTAATTTTGGTTACTGCTAGATTGGATTTTCAGTGCCTATAACTTCCCTGCTAACATCCGACAATGTCAAGAGGCGGAAACATTTTTTAAAAAGGGAAATTATAAGGAAGAAGGCGGTGGAGGAAAAGCTGCTGAAAAAAATAAAGGGATGCAAAATGAATCGGAAAATTGGTTCTTTGACACTGAAAATGGAATCAGGTTGGGGGGGGGAAGGTTGGGATTAGGATATCATAGCAGGAGATTTGTGGATGTGGTTCTCAGTGATTGCCTGCAGGATACAGGATTTCATTTCATTTACGATGTTTGACCATTAAAGAAGTCAGGACAAAGAAAGGAATCTTTTGTCTTGAATCATTTCCAATCCTTGTGCACAAATTGAGGGAATTGTGACTTTTAACCTTATTCACTGTTCACCAAGTCCAAAATGCCCCATCTGGGACAGGAAGCAGTGGTTGCAAGTTCAAAACAAGGGTTTTAAATTCACCAGACGCCTTCCTTCAACTTTAAATGCAACGATCTTGTGAGCAACTTTTCAAGCTTGGAATGATTTGAAATTAAAAAGCTTTTGCACGCCCCTTCCTGGGAGATGAGCTGGTCTATGCTGGTCTTACAGAGAAAGGAGCTTTGCTAGAGAGTGAGGCTGTGGGTAATTTCTCCTGCTTTTGACCAGAAGAAGACTAGAGCAGAGAGCAGCTCGGCAGTTCAAGGCTTCAGATCTTGGTATAGCCTCCTGGTCCCAATCTGTGCAACAGGAGGGAGTGAAATGGAAACCCCCCCCCCCAGGATAGGGATGGCGAACCTTTTGCATTCTGCGGGTAAAAATTCAAACTCTGCTGGTGTGTTTTACACACACGCACACATGTATACACGGACAAAAGAGGTCTCTCCAGACCTCCTCTCCAGATCCTCTGGAGATCACACAAGAGTGCTCTGTTCTCACAGGGTCTCTGGGGATTCTGAAAATTGTGTGTGAACATTCACACTTTTTTGGAGACCCTGGTGTTGCCTAAGAGCAGGACTCTCTTCCACGACTTCCAGAGAGGTCCAGAGGCTTGATGTGTCGCCGAAAGTGGCATGGCGGCCCACCCACATCCTAGGTTCACCATCACTCGCTCTAGGAAGACGACCAAGCCAGCCTTGGGTGCAGGCAGGATGAAACACCAGTAAGTGGGGGAAGCGCACAGTATCACCATCGGGGCAAGAGAGAACTTACTCAGAAGAGGAGATGTTTAAAGTCCAGACAGTTAACAGAGGAATGGAAGGGGAGGGAGACAGAATATGCCAGCCAAGGAAGGAAGAGGAGGGGAAACGAAAACAAAACACTGGAACTTTAGAACTTCTTACAGACTCAAAGCAGCGGCCACTTTCCAAAAACTTACCCGTTGCTGAGACACAAAAATGGCAAAACCGAATTAACCTGAACATGATTCCTAAACTACAGTATCTTAGGGGGACAGCAATGTTGAATGCAAATTCGCAGGACTATGAACACTACTCAGCCGATATTTTTTTAAACAAACTGCGGTCCAGCACCTCTGGCAGGGGAGCAGAGATGGGTTCCTATGTTTAAAAAACAATCCAAGGGTAGTTTAAGGAAGGCCTTGCTGCCCATCGGATTCGCTTGCAAATTTTCTTTCTTTCTTTCGTTTTAATCCTATTTCTTTTGCACTGCAGCTTTCCAAAGCGAGTCATGAGGCCGGAGATGTCCATTTGAGAGGCCCGCAGGACAGGCTTGGTCCTCGGAGCTAGGTCCTAGGGAGAGGGCTGCCCACTGGGATAAAACAGGCAGCCCCACGAGGCCAAAGAAAAGCAAATTCCAGCAGACAAGGACTCCATAAGCGAACAAGCACCTCTCCTCTAGCTGTGGCCACAGCAGGATTTCTCCTCCCTGCTGGCAGGAGGCAAATTTTGGGACTGGCGTAACCATTTAGGGAAAGAAAAAAAAAAAGGAAAGGGAAGAAAGTAAAGGTGGACAGACACACCTCTTCTCCTCTTCCTCCCCAGTGTCCCCTCTGGAGTGGCAGCAGGAAGGGCCAAGAGAAGTCACATGGCAATGCATGCAAGAAGGATGGATGGAAGAAAGGAAAGGATGGAGGAAAGGAACCAAGAAAAAAAAAGAACAGGATTACAGACGTTGAGAGAGAGAAAGAGAGAGAGAGAGAGAGAGAGAGAATTAGTTTTTTCAACCCTCCCACAAGACTGTACAAGGGTGAAGGTCCTTCCCACCAATCTCCCCCTTCTTTTGACTGTTGGCAAGGAGGGGAGCTTGCTCCATGAGGACCAAACGCCTCCTAATCCGAAGAGGAGCATCCGAGAACAGCTCACCCTCAAACGAACAGAAGGAGCCATCTTGATGGGGGGGGGGACAAGGGGACAGGGAAAGAGGGGAAACCTTCTCCCCAGCCAACCTTTCCTCCCCTCGCCCCCCTCCAGAGCCAGAGGGGGACCCCAGGGCTGTCTACCTGGTGGTGGGAGACCGCTTCCGCCTCTCGCAGTGGACGGCGTCAAAGAAAGCCGCGTTCCAGAACCTCAGGGTCTGCCTGCAAAACCGAGATGAAGATGCTGGATGGTGAGATGGGCGACATATAAATTTAATAAACGAAAGGAAGCTGGAGCATGGAGGCCGGTGCCAACGACAGCCGGGCTCTGGGTGGCTGGAAGGGCCCTGGGCTGAGCTGCTCCAAGGGCCACGGCCGACCTTCTGTGGAGACTGAGACGGTCACCTTCTCGGTCCTTACCAGATGGGCTGCTGCTTGAGGTGCATGTACAGGTAGATCTTCTCCCCGTTTCTTTCTTCTTCTTCCTCAGGACTGTACAGGGAAACTGCACAGAAAGGGACATTCAGGGCATGGGGCTTTAGAGGGGGCAGACCCCTCCCCTCCGCCTTCACTGCCCTGCTTGAGAGATCTGGAGCTTCCACCAAGGACCCCCAACTTTCTGGGGGGACCAGCTTACCTGATTTCTGCATTCTGTCCCTGGGCTTCTCTTCACCATCCCTGGAAGAAGAGCAGAGGTGGGATTCAGCCCAGCAGAGGTGGTCACCGTCCCTCTGCCAGGAAGGCTCAGCCCGGGCATCCTTGGTTGAGGGTCTCCCATCCTTGGCTTCAATCCCACCAATCCCATCAGCGGCTTCTATGCAGTCGGTGCCACAGCCAGGCAGCATCCAGCATTACGACGTGTCACTGACCCTCAGCCAAATCCATTTTCCTGACAGTTCCACACACACACACACACCCCAATTTTATTTCTGTCTTTGGGAATCTCAGAGGAGACCCCATTCGTGCAGAACAACCAGACCCAAGGACAGTTTTTCCCCCCATGCCATCACTCTGCTAAACAACTAATTCCTACAACACTGTCAAACTAGCTAGTAAGGCTGCATTGCTATTATTCTCCTCGTCTTTCCTATTACCTACCTCTTGGTCTTCTTAGGACTATAGCTTGGTTGCTTGTACCTTACGATTTATATTTATTTAGTATCCTAGTATGATTTAGGTTGTTTGCTTATCTAGTATCCTATGACTCTCCCTGAGTGTTCCATCTTAGGATTATGCTGAATGTATTTTATGTTGATTATGATCATGATTTATTACTTGTTGCTTGTAGGTACACTGAGAACTTCTGCACCAGAGAGAAATTCCTTGTGTGTCCATCCAGACCTGGCCAATATTCTACTCTTCCAGAAAGCCCCCCCCCTCCATTTACAAAGCAGGGGCATCTTTTGGGGTCTGCCCTAAATCTTCCCAGCCACGGAAGACAAGAGACGGGGGGACTCACTCGCTCTTCTTGGCCCCGTTGGGACCCCTCAGCTTGCTTTCAAAGCTGCCGAAAAACCCCTTCATGTTCTCCGTCTTGGCCGAGGTGTTTTTCAGCAGCCGTTCCGCGATGTCCTTCTTCTCGGCCAGCCAGCTGTTGGCGGACTTCAGGTAGGAGTCGATGCTTCCCGCGGCCTTCTCTTTGCACTCCGGGGGGAGAATTTGGGGCTTGCCTGTACAAAGACAAGAACGCCAAGGGGGGAAGAAAAAGAGTTTAATCCGGTGTTTCTCAAACTTGGCGCCTTTTATGACAGTGGACTTCAACTCCCAGAATTCCCCAGTCAAAATAGGGGGTAACCCAGCTCCAATCCCCTAAAGCAGGGGTCTTCAAAAGTGGCCCTTTTATGACTTGTGGACTTCAACTCCCAGAATTCCTCAGCCAGGCACGCATTTGAAGAACCCTGCCCTAAAGAGACCCACTTCTTTTTTTTAAAAACAAGGCAAAAGAAGGCAAATGACCAGCTGTCTGCAAGGAGTATAAATCCTTCCATTCCCCACCATCCAGTCAGAGCTGAAGAAGCTTCTGGGATGAGAAGCGAAACGTCTTCAAAGAGAAACAAGGAAGTCCAGTTGCCTCCTAAAGAAGCACCTGTGGGACAACCGTGACCTGGATGGCTGAGAATCTCCATAGACAAAACAAGCTAAGTTACTAGTCCACATGACAGTCTAGAAATGAAGAGACGTAGAAAAGATTCCATTTTTTTTTAAAAAAAAATACTTCTTGGAAGACCCACGGCTCCTGCTGGAGATGAGCCACCGTCTGGATGTGGCTTTTGTGGCCCTTACCAATGTAGTAGTACGTAAAGCACATAGTCATCAGGTTTTTAGCAGGGCTGAAGTCATCCATCTGGTAGCATCTACAAAGCCAAAGAGAAAAGTTGGTGAAAAGAGGGGGGGGGGACGACAACGAAGACGGCCCCAGCTCCGGAATGCCAAGCCGTGAGGGTTTGGGCAAGGCTGGGGGCCAGAGAGAAAACCAACTCAAACAGGACCCCTGACCTGCCCACCAGGAACCCCACAGGACAGCCTGGGCCAGGCCTGGTTTCCAAGCAACTGGCAACCCTTCCACAGATACACACACAGTCTACTCACTCAAAGAGCACAAGGGCAAAGGACTGCACCAGGCGGTAGAAAGTCTGCTCGGAGACACACTTGGAATTGCAGCGCTGTGAAGGAACCGGCAACAGGCAGAGTGAGGGTGCAACTTCTGCATGTGGGGAGCGCCCCAAGAACTCTCAGATAACTTCTGCCATCTTTCTGGCACCCCTGGGGCTGCCGGCAGCGTTTGTACAGCTGTGATGTATGCATTTGCTTGTACCTTCCTAAGCCACGTAGTCCTTGCTTAATGGCTGTACATTTAGCAAAGGTTTGAAGTTAGAAAGAAATTGAAAAAAGGTGGCTTCTGACTGGTCCTCAAATTTATGACCGCCGTAGCTCCCCTGTGGTCACGCAATTGTGATTCAAGGGCTTGGCAACCGTCACACAATTAAGATGGTTGCGGCATCCCACGGCTATCTGATGGCCGTTTGCATCCTTCGCAGCCGGCTTCCCAGAAGCAAACTGAGTGGGGAAGCTGGCAGGGAAGGTCATAAATTGTGATCATGAGGTCTCACTTAACAACTGCACCGCTTAATGACAAACTTTCCGCTCCCTATTGTAGTCATAAGTTGAGTTAGAAGAAGTTGAAGAAGGAACTCAGACAGGGTGCAAATCGCCCTCCTGTCAGAGATGGGAAAACTGCTTCCCCCCAAGTGGTTTTTAATCAAGGTATACCAAGAAGGTAGACTGTGCTTTTCCACGGAGGTTCACAGGGATTCTTAACAATCCTAAAAGAAGCTCTGGAGCAGGCTGGAACTGCATGGGGCCTGCCACTGGCAAGCCAGGCGCGTTCCCGGAGATCGAAGGGATTCCAGATTTAGCAAAACTGTTTGATCCTAAATGCTTCCTTACCTGGACGCTGACGTATCTGGCGAACCACTCCCTGCCTTTTGTGTTCTCACCACTGCACAGCTCCCCAAATCTGGCTTGCTCCTCTTGGTCAAACTCCTCTCTGAAATCACACAGCCAGACACACACAAAATCACAATCACATCTTGCATGCCTACAAATAGAAATATCTACTTCTAGACTGCAGCCCAGCCCCTCCCTCCCTCCTGCCTGCCTATCTACCATATCTTTCTTTCTTTCTTTCTTTCTTTCTTTCTTTCTTTCTTTCTTTCTTTCTTTCTTTCTTTCTTTCTTTCTTTTCTTTCTTCTTTCCTTTCTCTCTTTCTTTCTTTCTTTCTTTCTTTCTTTCTTTCTTTCTTTCTAAATTTATATGGCTGCCCACTCACCCTCCATAACACTGGATGGCTTACAAAAATAAAAGCTGAATACACAAATAATAAAAAAAACAATACCGCACCCCCGGGACAATCATCAATCAGATAAGTCACTTGATGGGCTCCATCCCACTCTGGGTATCCCAGGCCCAGCAAAACTGGGTCTTCGGGGTCTTGAGAAAGAGGGTCCAACTGGGAGCCAGTCTAATCTCCATGGGGATGGAATTTATTGATTTAATCTATTTATCAAATGTATTGGCCACCCATCTTACCACAGGGTAACTTTGGGCAGCTTACAATACTAAAAAGATAAAATTATGTAAATAAAATACCGCAAAACTATGATGCAAAATACTATAGCTAAATGATGGGAAGGGAGGCAGGGAGTAGGATGGGCAGGGGAGAAGCTGGGGGTCTGATATTAATCTATCAATCACCCCTGACCTGAAGCCCCTGCTCTGAAGCCCCAGACCCCCAGGCAGAAGGGAGGGAGCTTGTCAATAAGATTTATTTAGGCTTTTGAAGCAGAGAGAATTCCAACAGACCAACAGTGAAGGTTTCTCTGCAAAAGACCCTTTCCCAGCATGGTTATATCCCAAGTTTTGAAGGCCTGCAAAGTTTCATTCATCCTTTCCTTAAAACATGCCTTCAGGTAAACCTCTGTCCTCAGAAACCACCCTTTTCTATTGACTCTCGGCAAAGACAACATTGCGCAACTTTGGGTCGTGTCATCTGCCAAGGTAAATAAACAGGTTTCCCAAAAGCACCAAAACAGATAGGAAGTTGACTGTGGTTATTTATCCTCAGCTGCAATTCCCCGAGCTTAAAAAAAAAAAAAAACAGCTACAACAAGAGAGCTCCTGTCTTAAATAAATTTTATTTATTATATGCTGATTTAGTTCCAAGGGCTCCCGGCAGCTTGCAAGCGCATGCGATAAATCCAGAAAATTAAAACATCCGCAGTTATAGTAAGGTGGCATATAAAAATGTTAAATCAGTGACAATGGAGCCAACAGTAAGCATGCCTCATAGGCATAGGAGTATTAAATATCCTCCAGAACAACTCTCTATTGTGGAACACAACCCGTGGACAAAAGAAAGAGATTCTAAAGCAGTGTTTTTCAATCCTGACAACTTTAAGTTGACGTCCACCCCTCTTAAAGTTGACATGGCTGAGAAAAACACACTGCTCCAGCAGAAGGCTATTCCATAGCACGGGTGCCATTATTACAGAAATATTAGCATCTCTGGGGCTTTGTCTTTTTCCTAAATTTGGCATGGCAGTGGCATTCCCAGGGTACACTTTAATAATAATGGGCGCACGAGCTAGCCAGAAACAATTTTGAAGAGGTTCCTCTCAAGCAAAGGAACTCTTGACCTTGGCGTCTGCCAAGCCTTGGTCTTTCCACCTTGGAAAAGAGGAAAATGAATGAATTCCTATCCACAGAAGGTGTACAGAAAACCCTCGGCTGTTGTCCTTTAGAAGGATCTAGTTGGCTCCAAAAAAAATCTAATCGGAAACCTTCTCCATCCAGGCATCGCCTCCATCCAGGCATAGCATCTCCATCCGTTCCAGTGGGCTTGCAGGAACTGTTTAGCTTCCAAAATAATTGGTTAAAACTGCAGAACTTTCACTTAAGTTGCTTGAAATAAATTCAGGAATTAAATGACTTATCCATGGAGACAGGATGTTAAGGTGCAGAGTGGAGAAATATTGCCTTGGGCTCCCGGCTTTCTGATTCAATCAATTCTTTAACAATTCACATTAAAAGGTTTGCTCCAAAGCATGCATGTCTTTACCCTTCCCCCCCCCTCCAGCTCCTGCAGAGGGAGGGCAAATCCCCTTTGCGGTGACATCCAAGTGCAAGTTGCACAGAGAATGTTCTGGATAGATCCAGAACCCAACAGCCAGCCCTCCTTCCCTCATGGCTCAGCTTCAATCACATTAATTCAGACCCGGGTGACTCAGAACGCCGCAGGCCTGCTGAGATTCAGTGGGATTTTTTTTTATATCTGTGCCAAAGGTATCCAAACCAGGGTGTATCTGCCCTGCCACTCGCTCCCAGATCGCCAGGCAGGAAGTACGGGGGAATTAAATGTCTCTGGAGATTCTCCATCATTGAGACCACGGTTGTCCCAAAGGTGCTTTTTTTTCTTCAAAAGACAAAAGACAAAAAGAAAAAAAAGTCCAGTTGCCTTTTGAAGAAAAAAAAGCACCTTTGGGACTCTAGATACTCTTATGATCACAGCTGAGCCCTAGTTTTTTTTTTTTTTATGGCTAAGTGAAACATTTGTTAAGTGAATTTTGCCCCCATTTTATGACTTTTCATGCCACAGTGAATCACTTCAGTTGTTAAGTTAGTCACAGTTGTTAAGCTGTTTAGTGAATCTGGTTTCCCCATGGACTTTGTTGGTCACAAGGTGGCAAAAGGGGATCACGTCATACACACACACACACATACACACACACACACACACACACACACACACACACACACACACACGGGATGCTGTGACCGTCATAAATATGGGTCAGTTGCCAAGCTTCCAAATTTTGATCATGTGATCCTACAAAGGTCGTAAGTGTGAAAAAGAGTCCCAACACACTTTTTTCGGCACCGTTGTAGCTTCAAATGGTCACTAAATGAACTGTTGTAAGTTGAGGCGTTCCATACTAGGAGTTAAATTAAGGGATACCCAAGGAGAAAGAGAAAAGAGGGTTGGGGGATTTGAGGGGGGGGCGGAAGAGGGAAGTGGATCTTGGAGATGCCCGGGAGATAAACAAGGGCAGCCATTTTCCTGCCTTTGGAAAATCCCCTGGCTTGTGCACTTTTCCTCTGCAGACTTTATTTAAAAATAAAAACCAGGTTTCTCCTCCTGCTCCCTTTGCTGGCGTTTCCCGAGACAATCACAGAAATGTTCACCTCTCCCTTCACGTGTCAGGCGGCATCGCATCTCCTGCCCGCCCAGATGTCATCAAAACAAAGATCTGGCCGCCGGCATCACGTGGCCGGCCACACGTGGTCGAACACCGAGCGGCGCCTCCATCCGGCGGGAGGAAAAGTGCCCTCCAGGCTGGCAATGGAGGGCCCAGGCGTGGGGGGGGGAGCTTCCCAAGCACAGTGGGACACCCCTGCTTTAGAGGAGACGAACGGTGTGAGTTGTTACTGAGCTGCACACAAAGGGGCACGGGTGCTGCACGGAGAAATTGGGATCGGAGCAGAGGGAGAACGTCAAGATGGTCGGGGGGCAAAGGGAGAAGCTGAGCCTGAGGTTTATGTTGCCAGGGACCCCCGATTTGACAACGGAACAGACTAGGAAATCAGAGGTAGGCGCCTCGTTTGCCCATAACACAATTGCAGGCAGTCCTCAACCTACAACCGTTCATTTAGTGACTGTTCAAAGTTACAACAGCGCTTATGACCGTTTTCCACACTTACGACCTTTGCAGCATTCCCTGTTGTCATGTGATCAAAATTCAGGCGCTCGGCAACTGGCTCATACTTACGACGGTTGCCGTGTCCCAGGGTCAGGTGATCTCCTTTTGTGACCTTCTGGCAAGCAAAGTCCGTGAGGAAGCCAGATTTCCTGAACACCCGTGATACTAAATTAACAACTGCGAAGATTCACTTAATGACTATTGCAAGAAAGGTCATAAAATGAGGCAAAATTCACTTAACAACTGTCTCACTCAGCAACCAAAATGCTGGGCTCAATTGCGGCCGTACGTCGAGGACCACCTGTGTAAGAATCTGCAACAGGAGAGGAGTTGCAAGGTTAGGAGTCCTCTCGGCCCTCCGTCCCCTTTCCAGGGTCCCAGGGGTGCTCCAGCAACACTCACCCACCGGTGAAGATCTTCGCCACGTACTGGCTCATGAACTCCCGGTGTTCGGCCGTGGCTTCCCCCCGAGCAGACTCCGTGCTCTGGGTTGAGGAGTAGGACTCGGAGGAAGAGCGCCGCTGGTTGTTCCAGCTGGGATGGGTGGGCGAGTCTGTTGGGTCGTTCTCACTGTCGGCGGACTCGGTGGCATCACTCTCCTCGGTGGCTGGGCTCACATCCCGGCGATCCAGCACCACGTGGCCGTTGGTGGTTGAGGGGCCAGTGGGGACTGATTCAGAGGTGTCCGTGGTGGACGGTTCAGAGTCGAAGTCAATGAGGTTTCCCACCGGGACATCCACCACCTCCATGGTTCTTGTGAAGGTGTAGGCTGAAGACCCCGAATCCAGACAGTGAAGGTCTCAAACGCCCTTTTCGAGGAAGGCTGGAGGCCACCGGGAACAAGCCATGGTCTAGATCAAGGATCCTCTTTGGCCCAGCATGCTTGAAGGCCCCTGAAAAAAACAACACAGAGCAATTAATTGACTCCTCACCTGGATTCTCCTTTAGGGAGGGAGAAGAAGGGAGCATAGAGGGAAATGTTGCTGCTTCCAAGACGGTTCCTCTGAAGAAGAGACAAATCCTGAACCCAAGGGATCGATTGCCTTCCCTTCCAGCGGAGAGAGAAGTGCCTTCTAATTCTCCTCTAGAGCAGACTGCAAAGGGTCACAGCACAGATGAAATGGGCCCCTCCCGAGTTTGTGGTTTGAACAGCTGCAGCAGGAGGGAGAGGATCAAATGGAGCTTGAAATCAGGAGACGCTCCAGAAACTTTGGAGCACCCTGGACAGCTCCTGGAGACTATTTGTGGCAGCCTCCCTTCAAGACTAGGGAAGCCTTTGGGAGCCATAAAAGCAAAGGGATGGGAAAGAAGGGAAGTTCTCCAGGGACAGGAATAAAAATATCGACCCCGAAGACAGCTGGGTTGGCCAACATTTTGCTTTAGGTAAAGAGTGCAGCTCTTAATCCTACAGGAAATCAACCGTGACCATCCTTTGGAAAGACAGATATTGAAGCTGTAACTCAAATACTTTGACCACCAAATGAGAACAGAGGACCCACTGGAGAAGACCCTGAGGTTGGCAAAGGGAGAAGGGGATGGCAGAGGGTTAGATGGTGTCATCGACGCAGTGGACATGAGTTTGGACCGATTCAAGGAGACCGTGGAGAACAGGGGGGGCTGGGGTGCCATAGTCCATGCAGTCACGAAGAGTCAGACACAACTAAGTGTCTGAAGAACAACAAAATGCAGTGCAGAGTTTCAGGCCACGTAACTGCCTATACACCCCTCCACTCCCAAAGGTTGGGTTCCACCCTAGAGTGCCATCAGAAGCTGCCAAGGAAAGACCATTTTAGATGTCAGAAGACTTCCTTAAAGTCTTTCTGCAGTGGGATCTCCCCTTTGGTCAATCTTGTGGAACATCTGATCAATCTTATTTCATTAGGTCAAGGTTTAATTGGTCATCTCAGCCTGAGCTTCTCCTTTTATCTTTCTTTGCTCACGTTCATCTCTTCATCAGTCACCTCGTGCCCCTAACATCTGGGACTGCCCCACATTTTGCCCCGGTAAACAGACTCTGCAGCCGCTTCAGCATCATGGGCAAAAGAAGGCAAACTAGAAAAGGACCCAGGGGCAAAGCAAAGAGAAGGCGAGAGCTCTCTTTGAAGCCACCAGCTGCAATTGAAGCTGCTCCACAACCTGTATTTAAAAGGCTGCTGGGCCCACCTCCTTTCTCACAGTGGCACTTTTAAAAACAGGCCGTTATCGCACTGAAGCAAGGGCTGCAATTTGCCTGATTATGGTGTTAAAACCTGCAGGCCCATCTGTGCCCTCCACCCGACAAAGAACAGCAAAGCGTCACGCCATTCAAGCAGTGCCAACTGACTGGCACAGGCAAAGAGGGAGGCAACCAGCAACGTTGTCCACAGCCAGCTGGCTGAGTCCTGACAGGCTGATGTTTGCAAGGGAAGGTTTCCCAAGAGAACTGGGGTGACCAAACCAAAAAAAAAAAAAATCAAGATAGGTGCTAGAACAGTGCCTGTCAAAAACCTATTTTTATGTGCCAACAATGGGGAAAGGGGGGGGCTAAATGAATAGAGTCACTTGATCAGTTCCCTTTCCATTCGGGGTCCCCAGGCCCCCTGACAAAACCACATTTTAAGGGCCTTTGGGAAAAGCAAGAGTGGGGGTCAACCATACAAGGCAACTGGAATTTTTTTCTTTTTCCTTGAAGATGTTTCGCTTCTCATCCAAGAAGCTTCTTCACTTCTGATTGAATGGTGGGGAATGGAAGGATCTGTATTCCTTGCAGTCATCTGGTCGTTAGTACTCCCTCTGAGAGTCATTGAGGCCCCTTGTGGGTTTAATCTGTGCCCTCAGGGTCACCTGAATAGTGCAACTGGGTGCAGAACCTTCTTGGAAGGGCTGAGAATGTTGTAAACAGGAGAAAGGGGTCCATTTCTACTCATGGATTTGCCACTGATCTCCCCCCCCTGTTCTCTCACTGGCACCAGCACCAGCACCCACATCCAGCCTCCAGTTCTGCTTGCTGCTTTGGGGAGCTGAAAGAGCTCACTTCTCAAGCTGAAAGCCTATATTATTTTCCCAGCTGGACTCTGCCCTCTCCCCCGTTGTGCAGCCCCTCGATTCCTCCTTCTTCACTCTTGGCCCCCGCCATAATTATCCCCTTTCAAGGAAGGGAAGGGTGATGCAGCACCAGCTGCTTGTGCCGAATTGACCTGCTCTTTGCTCCTGACAGGAAGGAGGATGAGCCAGCCCAGAACGCCCCCCCCCCTGCAAAGCTGCACAGAGGAATTTAACAGCTTTGGCAGGCAGGAGAAAAGAAGCATCTCAGGACTGCAGCTCTCCTAAGAGGTCCTCTTTGCAAATGCCCTCCCCTCCATTCTGTGGCTGGTGGATTGGGATGTCTGGAAAGGGCATTCAGTTCAAACCGGGGATCGATCCCGCAATTCTAGAGTTTAGGTTCTAGGAAAGTGGGGAGTCAGGAACGCAGCCAAAGTCAGCCTTCCCCTCCCCTTGCCCCAAAGGAGCAACGGAACGAGGATTGGCAAGAAATTAAGGATAATAAATAGGGAAGGGAAGGGGAGGGAAGAGGAGGGGAGGGGAGGGAAGAGGAGGAAGGGAAGGAAGGAAGGAAGGAAGGAAGGAAGGAAGGAAGGAAGGAAGGAAGGAAGGAAGGAAGGAAGGAAGGATAAAATTAAAAAGAAACAGATATGCCTTCGGTCCAAAGTTTACAAAAATCCTACATCTTCATGGAGGCACCCTCACCTTTTATCTCTTGAAGCCCCAACCCACCTCCAGGAAATGTCCCGCTTTATTTCTTCAGTTGGTAAAGCTGGATTTCAAACCCACAAATATCCAACAGACAGACCGTGGCAAGAACAGTAAAGAAAAGCTACGCCAGTTCTGTTTAATCCGCGGTCCATAATTACAGCAACCTCCCCCCCACCTCAGCCTTCAGATCCCTGGCAGAGAGCAAAGGCTCAACCCCTCCACCAAAACCACCCAGTTTCCCCCTGCCCCCCCCCCAGGCTGTTCTATCAGGTCGAGGGAGACAAACCTACCTGCTCCTGGGCTGGCCTTCCAATCCAGGAGAAAAGTCCTTCTGGCCCAGAGAAGGGGGCGGATTGCTACACAACCTGCTGAGCGATTCAGCACTCATTTCCATCTGCTGCTCGCCGTGTGGTGCGCATTGCCAGCCTCCCGTACCTCGTTCCAAGGGAGACCCAGAGATGCACCAACCCGCAGCCCCAACCCACCATCCCAACCTCTGGACAGCCCGAGAGCCAGTCAGCCCTGCCAGGGAAACTCCCAAGACGGAGTAAACATGAAGACGGGGTCAGTTCGCACAATGGATTTTTCTCGAGGGATCTCAAGACCTAGGATGGTGGTCCTGAGGACAGACTTATTGACCTCAAAGAAAGCACCTCAATCCTGAGAAGGGCTAAGAAGCCGCCAAGGGGCTCTCCCCAGATGATCAAGTGGGAGATCCCTCCACCTGAGATCCAGGTAGGGTCAGCTGCCCCAACCTCCACACCGCTGGTGGCTGACCTCAGGGCGAAGCATGCAGGAGCTGGACTTACCCACGAGCCACAGTGGGGAGATCCGGAGCCGGCCAGCTTGAGCACCTCTGGATAGAAAGCAGGCAGGGAATCAGCACAGCTGGAGAGAGAGAAAAGTCTCTCCCAGGGCTCAACTTCACACCAGAGAAACCGAAGTGCAGATGATCCAAAAACAAACACGTCCCTCCTCTCCCAGTTAACCTGCTGAAACCACGTCAGAGAAGGGGGGGGGAAATCTCCCTGTGACTCACACTCAGTGACATTTGAGAGAGAGGGGGGAAGGAGGGAAGGAGAGAGAGAGAGAGAGAAGGAGGGAGGGAAGGAGGGAGGGAGAGAGAGAGAGAAAGAGAGAGAAGGAGGGAGGGAGGGAAGGAGGGAAGGAGGGAGGGAGAGAGAGACAGAGACACAGAGAGAGAGGGAGAGAGAGAGGAGGGAGGGAAGGAGGGAGGGAGAGAGAGACAGACACAGAGAGAGAGGGAAAGAGGGAGAGAGGGAGAGAGGGGGGAAGGAAGGAGGGAGAGAGAGAGAGAAAAAGGGAGGGAAGGAGGGAGGGAGAGAGAGAGAGAGACAGAGACACAGAGAGAGAGGGAGAGAGGGAGAGAGAGAGGAGGGAGGGAGAGACAGAGACACAGAGAGGGAAAGAGGGAGAGAGAGAGAGAGAGGAAGAGAGAGAGGGGGAGAGAGGGGGGGAAGGAGGGAGAGAGAGAGAGAGAGAAAGGGAGGGAAGGAGGGAAGGAGGGAGGGAGAGAGAGAGACCCACAGAGAGAGAGAGAGAGGGAGGGAGGGAGGGAGGGAGGGAGGGAGGGAGGGAGGGAGGGAGGGAGAACCAGCTGAGCCAAGGCAGAAGGAAATCTTATCAGGACTTAGCAGAGGGGTTCCTTCTTCCGTATGAAATGCTAAATGTGGTAGAAGTTGAAGGCATCCACAAGCTCTACTCAACGGTTGACCTCAGATGAACCCCAGCGGAAAGACCCGCAGCAAGATTAACCAGCCCCAGACGAAACAAAAGGGTTTAACCTCAGCCTCAAAACTGTAAGCCCAGAGGTAGCTGCCAGCACTCGCAAAGCAGGCTCTGCAATGGATGCTCCCCTGGAAAATCCCACGCAACACGCCGAATGAGCATCTACCTTGGCTTGTTGTGATCCTGGCTGCAGACGCCTCTCTATCCCAGGCAGGGGAAGAGTCTGCACTCCCAAGCAACCGTCTTCCCCTGCCAATCTGATGTCCTCTGCAGGTCCAGAGCAGCTATGAAGCTTAAAGTGGAGCAGGAGCCCTCGTGAGATATGACTGGACACACACACACACACACACACACACAGAGTGCAGAGAAGAGCGACAAAGATGTTTAGAAGACTGGAGACTAAAGTGTATGA